AGAGACGATGAGCCATGGCGACATAGGGACGATGAGATAGACCGAGACCGCAGAGATCGCGAGCCGTTTGTGCGAGCGAGGAGGCTGGATGATTACCCTCGAAGCMCTCGCTATGAGGCCGATCGRGGTAGAGGYGACTCCCRYGGYCGATKGGAGACAGAACAGAGCCGACGAGATGRATAYAGGGAYRACAGATATGAGAGATCGGACCGAGATGGATATAGGGACGACAGATACGAGAGGACGGGTCGAGATGGCTACAGAGGAAGTAGATATGAGAGAGGAGATCGGGACTGGGAACGACAAGATGGGTCGCGCGGACGGTTTGAGCGCGGGGGAGAAGCGAGGGATCAGCGCGACGAGTCGCGGGGATGGTACAACCGAGGGGACCGACGCGATGAGTCACGAGGACGATATGACTCGAGGAACCGCCAGAATGATTCACGAGGGCGGTATGAGCAAGGAGGGTCTGGAGAAGACCGGCGCAACGATTCGCGCGGTCGGAATGAGTGAGGGGGATATGGCGTCTCATCAGAACCATATCCAAAGTCGCCTGACCCCAAGGCGACCAGGAATTCGATCTCTAGAGGCGCAGACGACAGGGCATCTACTCCCAGGAACTCATGCGTCTACTGTAGAGGAGAAGATCATATCAAGAGGGATTGCCCGGACCTCAAACGGGCAATAGAAGAGGGACTTGTCGTGCTTGACGACCGCAAGTAGTCAAGTGGGCAGATGATGTCGGAGATGTATCGATGTTCCCTTCGATGAAGGAGAATGTCGAAGCAAGGAGAATAAAGACGAGTAAAGGAATGGAGTCGGTCAGGAGCCAGAGCATCAAGATAACCTTTGAGGGGACATGGCGACCACACCCATAAGGGTGGGAGCCACCAAGTCGGCGAGAGCGTTTACATCGAAGAAAACTGACACGGATTACGTGATGGCAGAGAAGGACGCAGCGGGTCGATGGAGAGGAGGTTATCCTTTCACCGCGAAAGCGGCGAAAGCGGGGAGTGAAGAAGTTCTTAATGAAGAGTTCGCTGGACGAGATTGACACGGTCGAGCCATTGAGGCGGGCCCTTCGGCAACCCATGCAGTGCTCTATTCTGGAGTACCTGGCGGCATCGAAGCCGGCTCGTGATGAGTTACAGATGATCACGCGGAAGACTCGCATACCTCTATCGGAGGAGGGTCAGGGGGCCCCTAAGGGGGAAGCTTCTACAGTAGCAGTAACGGGGGTGACTGCCAGAGTGGATCGCATGACGACAGTCCTTCTCGATGGAATGGAAGGTGTGCCTCCAGACAAGTTTTATATACTTGGTAGCGGGGCCGTGGAGACGATTATAAACGATGAAGCGGTACTTGATGCTGTGATTGATAACGGCAGTGAGGCTGTCATCATAGACGAGGACGTGGCGGTACGAGTTGGACTGGGCCTCGATAGGTCATATCTATTCGAGATAGAGACGGCTGATGGGAGAAAGCAACAGATCACTGGGGTTTGTCACAAGGCAGCCATAAAAGTCGAAGGAGTAAGAGTAACCCTGCCTGTTTTTGTGGTCAAGAACTGCAGCTCCGACCTGCTTTTGGGTCGAACGTGGCTGAGCCACGTGCATGCGGTGACGATAGAGCGACCTGATGGGAGCCAAACATTGTCCATTAGGAAGCCAGACGGGACACGGGTGATGATTGAGACAGTGGAGCCTCGGGACCCGAGGAACAGAGCAGCTTTCGCTGTGGGTGCAAGACCCAGTGATCAGATTAGGTCTTTACCCATCTCCGGCCGCGCGGTGCGATTTCGCGAGAAGAGATATGGACCACTGCTCACAGAGGAAGAAGGTCGGATCATGGAGGTGGAAGATTTAGGAAGCCGGCTAATAGTGGACGGCAACTCGTACCCAAAGAAAAAAGAGGAGGAATTTGGCGGTGTGGTATCTATGTCTTTTTTAAGGGCACGGCCCCCTATGGGGGGCTACCCAAGCGACACAAGCGAGTAGCTCAAAAAGTTAAGCCAGCGGCGGTGGGCCGCGAGCGATCGGCACTGGAAGGAGTATCAGAAGAAGAGATCGCGAAAGAAATCAAAGAAAGAAAGAAAAAAGAGCCACAACGCTTAACGGAAGAGAGGATAGCAGAGATGGACATCGGAGATGGAAATTTGACCCCACAGGAGCGAGAACGTGTGATAGAAATCCTGAAGACATGTGATAAGGCCATAGCTTTCGGCGACGCGGAGTGCGGTAGGATTGATCCTCGATACGCTAAGCCAACGAGGATTTATA